CACGACTTCTGTCGAACCAGCATGTTCGAAAACCAGCCGGGAATCGTACGATTCTCGGCTGGTTAGAACGGTGCTCGGAAGATAAATGCTGAACGGGCCGGTGTGCGCACGCGCACACTGCCCGTTCAGCATTGCGGTCATCGGAAGCCCGCCCCTCAGGAGGGCGGGCTTGCGATGATCGAGAGTGCGATCTGCCTGTCCAAGATAGGCAGATCGTACGTTTTTTTAATCCCTTTACAACCATCGCAAGACTAAAGTCTTGCGATGGTTGTAGAGTGTATGGCCACCTTTAGAAGGGAGGAGAAATCAGCAGGGGTCAATCAGCTTCAATGTGCACACATGTGCTGACAAGAAACATCCTGACAGTAGAAGAGAAGAAAGAGATGACATCATCAGCCGGCTGCTGCTTCTTCACTATCCAGTCACAGGTTGGGGGCAGGGAGGTGACCTATTTGTACAGTATTCCTTAACTGCAGAAGAGAAAAGTCAGGTCATCAGGCTGGCTGTGTTTTTCACGGGACTGGATGCAAGGAAATACAGATCCAACTTTATATTTAGCTGTTTGCCTGAAGTTCAGCTTTAAGTGATAATTTTGCACTGGAACATAGATGTTTATAGATTTATATGGATTTCCATAGACTCTCATGGACAAGGTTGAGGCCAAAATAGATCAATGGTATGGGAATACAATTTGGGACTACCATTTATAGCCCTGACATAGGATCCAAGGAGTTCCACAGGAATATTGAGATCTTTCCCAAGACTACCAGACATAATAACAGGCACCTCTTTAGCACTGTTGTTACCCTAGAAATATTTCAGGCCAGATCAGGTTAATTTTAAAGTACAACAAAGTGGAGGAATTCAGTCTTTAGTGGGAGGTGTTTTAAACATAGTTTCCAGTGTGTTGCATACATAGATGACACTTGGGTTTCATTGGCATTGTAGTGGCAACTGAATGACTGGGCCACCCATGAGAAGGAAAGGATGCCTGTATTGAATTCCTGACAACATGACTGGGTTCTTTATCACCTTAGTGGAAACCCTGGGAGAACTGGGGCGAGTGACTTTTCTGAATTTGGTGAAGGTTGGTGCATTGCTACACCACATGTAACAGCCCGTATATGTCAAAAGAACAGACACTGTACCAGCTATACAGTCCATCTGTACCATCCTGTGCATTGAGCTTTTTTAGCACTGTAGTTCTGTACAGCAGGATAAAATTAGAACCTGCATGCACACTCCGCTGATTTCCATTAAAAGAGAACTATGGGGTAACCTTTTTATCCCATATTTCTCTTAAGGGTCATGGGAGGACATATACTAGCATCCTCCCGTGACCAAAAGCTCAGTATATAGCGAGCTATATACTGAGAGCGCCGCAGCCGGGATGGATCCCAACAATGCTGCCGAGATCCACACAGCTGCATCAGTGACAGCTGGCTCTGCCTATATGGAGGCAGAGCCAGCTGTGCCCACCCCCTCCCCATCCGTTCCTCCAGTCAGTGCTGGAGGATCGGACAGGGGAGGGGGGAATCTCTGCAGGGAGCGGTGGCAGGCGTTCGTTCACTTCCCGATCTATAGAGCCGACCTGTGACAGTTTCATTGTCACACGTCGGCTCGAACTATGAAGTTGAGTGAAAATCACTCGCCTCATAGTTCTCCTTGAACTAATTATTCATCATATCAAATGCTCATTCCTATGAGTCTGTTGTTGCAATTACTGGAAATAATTTAAATAGTAACTCCAGACAACAAATGAAATAGATCAGTGAAATAGTAATGTTTCTAGGTAAAAATGGATATTCTTCTAAATTCAGCAAGCCAATCAATTTTACTGTAATCTGTTTCTATGCATGCTTCTTTGGAACACATGGATGGATGGGCAAGACTTGAGATTCTGGTCTCTGATTTGGTCAGCAAGGCACATACAATCGGTGGGCTACAAAAACCTGGTCTATTGACCTGGCTCAACAAATGGTGTTTCTAGACCAGCACCTTAGTCAGCAGGGCAATAATTGCATAATGGAGCTCGAACATTTATACCTGTACAAGGAACAAAAGCCCTGTCTCAAGGCCTAATTTTGAGTGTTAAATTCAGACTGCATTGTTTCCATAGTGTACAGGTTCCTAGGATAGGACTGCTTTAGAAAAGTTTGAAGAAATGTGGAGCTGCACACAACTACTAAATCCTATTAGTTCTGGGCTGCCAGTCTGGCTACTCTGAAACCATCTACAAGGCTTGGCATGTCTATAGGCATCTGTATAGAAGAAAACCTGTAGTTGGGAATGTGGAGGCTGAAATCTTCTTCTGAACATGCTAGATCTCTGGCTGTCATTCTAACCCACTGGCGTCAGTACTTTCTGAGTCTCTTACTCACCACAAGTAGACAGAATAACAGTTCGAGGTCAGCGTCAGAAAAATGGAACCATAGAAAGCCTCTATATTCAGAAGCAGGGCCAACATTGGCAGCCTTGGTGTTTATTTCAGTACAGGTTTCCTTTAAAGAAGAACTCCAAGAATTTTAAACTTACCGTTGCAGTTGGACTATCCCCACACTGCAAGGGTTAAGTGCTCATTTTGTCTAGAGGGCTCAAATAAAGCAGATATACTCACTTGATCCTCAGTCCCAATGGGCTGTTAGACCTGCACCTGCAGCCTCTTCTTCCCTGTGCTCTGGAGGTCTAAGGACCACTGACATCATCCCATTTAATGCGGGTCTATTAACTTGCATTAGATGAGAAGACACAGAGGGATATTGAAACGCTGGAGAAGAGGGGGTGAGAGGTGAGCGCTGAGCGGAGCGGGACTGAGGATAAGGTGAGTATGTTATCTGAGCCCCCTAGACAAAACGTGCACTTAACTCTGACAGTGCAGTGGTAGCACCACTGCAAAGGTATGTTTTTCTAAATTTCCAGAGTTCTTCTTTAAGTATTTGCTGGTTAATCGGCTCCATTCAAACTTTTGATTGTATACTGCAAAAATGTTTTCTGTTTAATGTACATCCTGCATTTGGCTTGCAGTGCTAGTCTGCTCTTCATGTGGTTACATATATACTATTGCTCCATCTGCCTAGCAGACTACTCATGTTATGAAACGTCGGGGGATGTGTTTATATGAGTTCACTTCCAGGGCTGCTCTAGCAAATTTAATATATGCCCAAATATACTAAAACAATATTCGGGTATACATTAATGCGTATTCTGCTCTTGCCCGCCGCCATCTTGGAGGCAAAGCGTGTGACGTCACATGATGGTGACATCACACGCTGAACATGCGCTGGCAATATCGGCTTCCATGCGAGTTGTGCGCATGCCACCTCCATTTTGTAGTAGATCTAGGTATACACCAAGATGGCAGTGCTCCAACATCCGGGGCGCCCCCATCTTGGTGTATACCTCGGCCGCACTGCTCGCACACCCCTAAGGCCGGCCCTGCCTAGATCTAATCCAAATGGTGGTGCGCAGAACGTGCCGGCAGCTGATATGGCCGCCGCTTGTTCTGCGGTTTCAGTGTGTGATTTTGGATTTGGAGGCATGGTGCCTCCGAATCCAAAACAACATAAAAATGTGTTTCCTTTGACGAAACCACAGCAGATCTAAGTATTGGAAAAAGTATATTTTACTGTAAAAATACTTCTCCCTTAAGTACTTCCTACCGTTGGAAAAAGTTGGGTTGAGGATTCCAAGCACATGCAACCATCATTGTCAGCAATTGCAGCCTCCACATTTCTCTACCAAAGTCTTCCTTTAACCTGAACAGTATGGGATACAATTCATGCAACAGACTCTTTGACACCCTTTGGCCTCTTTCATAGGGCCCTAAGATGACTAGACAGCCTACATCCCAGATTTATTTCTCTGCCCAGGAGTGAAAGATACACTGTATAGCCAGCCTGTACAAATCAATGAAAGGCTGCCTGAAGCCACTCTAAAATTTTTGTCTGGACCTTACAAGTTTCTATTTGATTTCACTTGTACTATTTAATGTTATATAGTTTGACTAATGTAGGCCTTGTGCCTTAAGCCGGGCATACATGGTCCAAATTTTGTCTGGTTCCTGATGAATTGGCTGAAATTCGCACAGGGGGTGCCGCTGTCAGCACCCTTCCGCCCGACATCCCTCAATCAGCTGATCGAAAGAAGAGTCGGTTGGAAAGTTCTCGGCCAAACTCAGCCAGCAGCCAATCAGTTTAGTTCAGCCCGCAGGTTGAACAAAATAATATATAAATGTGTATACCTGGCTTAAGTCACACACACGACTAACTTACTACTGACCCCGACTTGTAACACGTATCTACTTTTGAAATACAATGTATTGAAATTATACATTTTTCTGGAGAAACCAAAATCCTGCAGATTTCAGATTTCCATGTTATGAATGATTGTAAAGATGTCAGTTTACCAGACTGCCCTCCGGATGCATGACTCATTCCAGCTTACTGTCCTCTCATACTCATATACAAGCTGTCAACGATAATGACTAGAAAATAAATGAACGTCTTCAATGACTACAAGCTGAGATTTTTTATATAAAAAAAACCCCACTAGGTCTGCAGGCAGGGGTTAACTGCATTCCATGGTCATTTCTCAAGCGGGAAGATGCAAGTGGGAGGAGGAGGGAGAAGGGAGAGTTTGAGTCATACTGGCAGTGCTCTTAAAGTCTTACAAGGGGAACCCACAACACAGAGCCAAGGAACAAAGCCAGTGATACATCTGACAAGAGAAGAACTTTAGGATGCTGCTTTTCCCTCTGCTGGGGGCTCTAGCCCTGTCAGTTTATGGAAAAACTCTAATAGATCCCAGCACTGAACAGGAGGCCATGGTAAGTCTCACCAAATGAGCATCTATGATGGAAAGCAGAAATTGGGAGAAAACAGCCGGTCACAATTAATATTTCATAGTGAATAGTCTCTAGGTAGCACAGTTTGCAGATAACCATCTATAAAAGGATGGGGGTTTTGCTCTTTTTTAGGACATTTTCTGTTTATATTTTTTGTGTGTGTCTGCTGGATCTCATCAATTGTTATGTAATGGAGAGAATATTTATAGCACAAGCTTTAGCAACACATTTCATCAAAGCTTATTGAAAAGATCACAGTGTATGTAAGCCCAAAATCAATTTGCCATAAATTCTAACTCTATATAATTTTCTTAACCTAATTGATTTTATTTTTTTTAAATATCTGTTGCAAAGTTACTGAGCTGGAGACCCTGTCCGGAAATGCACTTCATGATGCAGGCTGACAAAGCTAAGCCTTGCCATTAGAAGCAGCATTGTCAGTCTGTTGTACATGCACCTTCAGATGGCTCTTGGGCTGTCTATCAGGTATATTGAAGAGTGTCTGTATACATTTTAACAGTTGCACTGTTCTTGAGTAGAAAGGTTTGCATCAAATACAACCCGTTTTAGAGACTATCTTGCCCTTTTTTTTTCTTTCCAGATGGATTAAAAAAACAAAATGCATATGTTTATACTTTCTTTTTCCATTGCAAAGATTGCTGTTTACCAGTAAATTTTATTTATAGAACAGCATATGTGACCGATTATTGAAGGAGGTTATTTCCTAATTGAACCATGTGACTGATAATTGATGGTGGTCATTACATTATCTCATCCCCGCTAGCTGCTATTTGTGTCTACTAATAACACCAACATACTGTATTTTGGAATGGTTGAAGAATTATGAGCTCTCTAGAACACCACTACAGACAGTCCCTGTAGAAACCAATACATTTCCAATGGATGCTGGTAAAGCAGCAATAAGTGTCTCACTGTCTAATCTATGGAAGAACAGTTGTGCCTTAGGGTGCAATAAAGTAAGTCAGCTATGACTGAAAATTTCCTCTTACTAATCAGCAAATACATTACCCAGGGAATTCACTTGTTAATCACAAGCTTCTGGGTTTCCCCTGAAAACAGAAAAGTAGAAAATGCATTACTTTTAAAATCTAACATACTATATGTAATTAGAAGAAGCTATGATTAGACTTTTATAGGCATTTTTATCCAACATTGAAATGTCTAACTCTAATTTCAGTGTGTTTTTTTGTTAACAGGAATATTTCAAGCAATTTGGATATTTACAGAAACCCCTTGAAAGTGACAGTGAAGATTTTAGCACAGAAGAGGTGCACAGAGCTATAGAGTAAGTTGTAGTTTGATGTGTAAAGTGATGATCCGGAATGGTGTGAAGTGCCTTTGGGACATCTATGCTCAAAGGCCTTGCTCACATGGGCTCCAACTTGTATAAAAGCAGTGTGTACGGCAAACTTTGACAAGGCAAGCTATGCCGGAGCCTTAAAATACAATTCAGCTCCAGTGTAGACATGTTACCCACAGATCTTGAAGAAGAACTCTGGGGGAAATGTTATTAACCCTTGCAGTGGGGCTCACCCCCTCACTGCAAGGGTTAATAACATTTCCCCCAGAGTTTTTGTCTAGGTGCTAAAAAAAAAGTTATACTCACCTGAACTGCCGAGCTGACTCCCGGCTTCTCTGGTCACTGAAGCATGTCTCTTTCTCCGCTGCAAAAGATGGAATGTTCTACAGTGTCCTCACATCTATACACTTGTATAGAAGGGGAAGACACAAGGATTCTTAGACCGCTGCAGAAGAGGGGGAGAGAGGCTCTAGGGACCAGTCTAAGAACAAGCCAGCTCAAATGATAAGGCGAGTATAACTTGTTTAGCACCTAGACACAAACGAGCTGTTAACACTTGGAGTGCAGGGGTAGCCCCACTGCAAGGGTTAATAATATTTTTCCCCGGAGTTCTTCTTTAATGGGTGTGATGACTGTTACTTCAAACAGGCTGCTAGCAGGCTTCAGTGAGCATTGGCACTAAGTGAAGCTTGGTAAAAGCATGCTGAACCCTCGTTTAAAGTGACAGTCAGCACTCCCATTAAAATCCATGTTTAAAATTCCCAAATTAGAACTTAAGTGGGTTTTTTTTTCTGAAGGCTTCAACAAAGTTGCTCAAAACTAGACTATGGTCACAGCAACAAGTGTTCCCGTGGGACGATTTCACCTTTATTCCTGTCAACTCCAAATTTAGGATTTTCCCTCACTCATTCGCGGTGACAGTGGTCACAAGGACAAATAGAGAAAGTGAATCTCTTTTATTGGGAACACATATGGCAATTAAAAACCTGACAGGTTAAATATACATTCCATACAAAACACAAAAAATCCCCAGCCTCAACCTGCCAGCCAGCCTGCAACCAAACAAGTAGCCCTGTCAACAGTATGCGGTAAAATCAGAGGTTTTAGTTGCACAAACTTTTGGCCAAAAATATGTAGAAGCCACACTGCCGCGCCAAGGCACCTCTGCAAAGTGTGGTCCTAACTCTATGTATCTGAGTCTCCAAGTGTGAGCATATTAATGAAGTTGATAAATTACATGCAGGTGTACCTGGAGGTAGCCAACTCCTCCTAATAAGGTGCAGGGACGCACTGGAGGCCCAGCAACCAAAAATGCACGCTGGGACTCCAGTGCGTCCCCCAAACCAAAAATAGTCAAACTAGAAAAAATGGTACATGCATGAATCTATAACCAGCCTTTATAGCAGGGCGCACATCCTCCTTATTAGGAGGAGTTGGCTACCTCCAGGTACACCTGCATGTAATTTATCAACTTCATTAATATGCTCACACTTGGAGACTCGGATACATAGAGTTAGGACCACACTTTGCAGAGGTGCCTTGGCGCGGCAGTGTGGCTTCTACATATTTTTGGCCAAAAGTTTGTGCAACTAAAACCTCTGATTTTAACGCATACAGGTTGACAGGGCTACTTGTTTGGTGGCAGGCTGGCTGGCAGGTTGAGGCTGGGGAATTTATGTGTTTTGTATTGTTGTAAGCCTTCCCAATGTGCGCCCTGCTATAAAGGCTGGTTATAGATTCATGCATGTACCATTTTTTCTAAATATACATTGCCCCAATCTATCCAAAATAAAAAAAAAAGGTGGGGCTTTTAGATATATTTTAAAGCCTAAGTCCATATACAGCTATTGTTTCTTTCTTTTCTTTCTGTTAAGTCATTTTTACTATAAAGGTGTGTGAGTTTCAAAGGTTATGAAAGGCAAACGAGCATCAAGGACACTCTAGAAATACACTGGTACCTATACTAGTACACTAACCCTAAGAATCAGTCAAATGAGGTTCATCCCTTATACATTAAATGGTGTTGAAGGTAACTTTTTGCATATATAAAAAGAAGATAGGGGAAGGAATTAGAGTAGAGAGGAATAAGGGAGGTGGGATGGGGCAATGGCATAGGCTAGGTGGCAGTTGGAGAATAAGGAGGGGTCAGATCCATAATTCAGAAGGAGGTAGAAAGGGAAGGGGAATGGCTGAGTAGCGCTGTTAGAGGCAAAGCAGAGCACGCAAAGTGAGAAGATGGATGCATGAATTCCAAGCATCTTTATTTAATCTTTATTTCTCACATAACCACTCATTTTGTTGTTACTTCAGAAGCCACACTTTTGGCTCTAAGCTGCATTGGAACGGTGTCTATGAACGTCATCACTGTACTGTACTTTGTGAATGGCATGGCATAGTGTGTGTGAGGGGGGGGTCAGAGGAATAACTTTGGAACCACTGTCATTTATCGACGCTGTTTTGATGTCGCAAGGAGCTGCACTATACATAGCAGCAGTTCTCAGTGGAGCTTAGAAAGCTGCAGAAGTAATACCAAAATAAAGTGCTAATGTGAGAAATAAAGATTAAACAATAGAAAAAAATAGCTGTGTCTGGAGTTGGGCTATAAGCACGCTTTAACGTAATTCTGTTGTTTTAATTCCATGTAGCGCTTTCCAACTTGCTTCTCAGCTGCCTGAAACAGGGCTACTGGACAATGCCACTCTGGAGAGGATGAAGCAACCACGATGTGGGTTAGAAGACCCATTTAACCAAGTTACCCTCCGGTATCTTCTTTTAGGTAAGACAGATCTATAGACATGGATTCACACTATGTGCCTGTTTAGTCTGTTGGAGTTAATCAATCATGTGCAGGACATTTGAAAAGAACAGAAAGTAGATTGCACATGGTTAGATATATGTGAAGGCATGGTGCACATCATTTCCCTTTAGAAAAGCAGGCACCTTGAGCACCATTGCTCACATTAGAGGTACTGGCTTTATTTTTTGCAGTGACACTCATATTCCTTTATATACAGTACCAACATATTAGACAATGCTTTACAATTTGGGGGAATCCCGCAACAAACCACCACAGATTATTAAAACCAAAAGTGAGAGGGGCCTTCTATTTAGACTCTTCTTTATTAATATTTCCCAGGGAGAGCCATTCTAATGGTTTTGTGTAATTTTTAATATTCACACAATGCCCAGGTTCCAGGCACTGAAGAGAGGGAAAGATGTGAAATGAGCTGTACAGCACTCTGGACACATCACCTGTACCTCCTCACAATCCTCCATTCACAAAATGTCTTGCATTTTTCAAAGAATAGAAGCCATTCTGTGACTGGAGGAGAGATGATTTCACACTCTTGCTCATCCTCTCCTCCTCCAATCACAGAATGCCTTGTATGGGATGTGGCTGGAGCACTTCACTGCTCAAGTCGTATCTCACTACCCGCAGTGCCCGGAAGCTTGGCATTTTGTGCAGCTGATGGCGTGCAGCAAGGTAAGATTTTTCTACTTTGCAGCCACCCTCTGCACATAACACCCAGCTTTTTAATAATAATTTCCACACCCAGTTTACCTGGACTGTGGCTTTACACTGGCTGACAAGTTCTCTTTAAAACCAAAGAATAAAACTGCAGTCCTCTAAATGCAGGCCTGGCCATAGGTGGATCAAAATATGTTTTATGGTGTCTGCAGGCAGAAGTTGCAGGGCAACCTTTAATACCCAGACTCTCCAGGAAAAGTCCTTGGAACCTTCTAGTATTGTATACAACACAGATGCAGAATTCTGATTCTCCATGGCGTTTTCGCTGTCGCTGGAATCCATCTAGGCTTGTATTAAATTAAACCATAAGTTCAGTCTGTCCTGCCAGGAAAATCCAGGAATTATCAGCAAGTCATTGCATTTAGTGAGACCCCACTAAAACTCAACAGTTATTATTATTCTATTTTGTCTTAGAAATGTTAAATATACTAGACGAGGAACACAAGAAAAATGGAGATTAGTTATTTAAATAGCAAAACAAACGACAAACGCACTCAACAATTTGTCACCAGTTATACAGTAAGGTGCACACGAAATGGGCTTTGAACAGTAAAACAGTAGAAAGGCATCATGGCACACTCACAAGCCAGCATGTAAAACAACTTGTCTCACCACTAAGGATAATAACAGAGGTTTGGATACACGTCTTCTGCAGAGCATGTGAAAGCCGCACTGCCGCGCCAAGGCACCTCTTATAGTGCGGTCCTAACTCTAAACTATGAGAGTCTCCATCTTGGAGCACATGGGGGCAGAAGATTTCAAATTGGGTGCAGGTTTGTCAGGAGGACGCCCAACCTCCTTAAAGGCACAGGAACACACAAGGGATCCCGCACATCCCAATGGCAGCTGAGAAACCCCATGCGTCGCTGCACCAAATCGGTCAAGCAAAACAAACGACAAACGTTGGGCGTCCTCCTGACAAACCTGCACCCAATTTGAAATCTTCTGCCCCCATGTGCTCCAAGATGGAGACTCTCATAGTTTAGAGTTAGGATCGCACTATAAGAGGTGCCTTGGCGCGGCAGTGCGGCTTTCACATCCTCTGCAGAAGACGTGTATCCAAACCTCTGTTATTAACCTTAGTGGTGAGACAAGTTGTTTTACATGCTGGTTTGTGAGTGTGCCATGATGCCTTTCTACTGGTTTAGTTATTTAAATAGACACCGTTAATGTTTAACTATTACCAAGCGTTTTTTTAGGTTGGTAGAGTGGAGTATTAGTAGAGATATATGGGGGTAGATAGATACAGTAGATAGATACGATAGATAGATACAGTAGATAGATAGATAGATAGATAGATAGATAGATAGATAGATGGATAGATAATATGACAGACAGTATTTATCTAAGCTAAAGTGTAATGGTGAATTTTAGGATGTTTCCATGTTTCCTGAACAGGCCGATGGAGGAAGAAGAAACTGACTTATCGCATACACAATTACACACCAGACATGACAAAAGCTGAAGTGAGGGAGGCCATTGAAGCTGCTTTTAAATACTGGAGTGATGTTACACCATTGAAGTTCAGGGAGATCGACTATGGAAGAGCAGACATACGGATATCTTTCCATGAGCGTGGTGTTGGCTGTTCACGACCATTTGATGGTCCTGGTAGGTATTACTTTTTTTTAAACAATTTACCGTAAATAATCCAAAATTATCTTAAATAATCCCTGTCGGGCATCACTGTGTGGGTGTGCAGTGTCTGATGGAGTGAGAGCATGTTTTAAGCCACTGGAACTAAATCAGTACATTCCGTATTGTAATAAGTAATGAGGCCGTGAACTTAAATGTGCATGCGGCTACTTTAACCCTTAAAAGAGAGACTATGTAGCTTCTTGGACTCTAACACAAGCTTCCTTACTATTTTATCCAACATTACTTTGACCCTTAACTGTTTTACTGTTTGAATGAGGGAGATTTCCAGGGTGATTATATCTGCATTAATGGTTTCCAAGATAAAGTAGGTCTAATGAGTGAATCACTATAAAAACTAAGTAGTAATTTGATTAAAACTTTTATGTTATTTATAGCAAAGATCATTAAGTCCATGAATAAAACCAATTCTTAGTATATTTGCTAATGGCAATGGTGGGAAATTTAAAGGGTCATAATGGGGACAGTTCTAGCCCCAATTTTTTAAACTGAAAACCAAAACATGCAAACTCCTGACAGATCAGTATATTACTCACCATCATGTCAGTGTACTCGATAAGAACCATTCTGCATGTATCAGAAGATGGGTTGTTGTAAAGTTCACCACGGATGTTAGCAAATTCTCAAGATTTCTGCATTTACTATTTATATTGCAGGGAAGGTGCTGGCACATGCTGATATTCCTGAATTGGGTACGGTGCATTTTGATGAGGATGAGTACTGGACTGAGGGAACCTACCTTGGCGTCAACCTGCGAATCATTGCAGCACATGAGCTGGGGCATGCCTTGGGTCTGGGGCACTCTCGCTTTTCCAATGCCCTGATGGCTCCTGTCTATGGTGGATATAAGGCCAATTTCCGTCTCCATGATGACGATGTGAAGGGAATGCAAGCTTTGTATGGTAAGAATTCATTAAATCAAAGATGTGATATTGTTATTGTTATTATACAGGATTTATATAGTGCCAACTGTTTGTGCAGCACTTTACAACATATGGAGAGACAGTACAATTACAATGCAATACCATACAAAAGGATTAGAAGGACCCTGCTCATGAGAGCTTACAATGTACAAGGAGGGGCAAATTATACAGAAGGTAATAACTGTAAGGGATGAGCTGATTGAGGGATGCGCTAATTGAAGGAGTAGATGTACAGTTTTTAAGAGGAGGTAGAAAAGGCTTCCATGAAGTGGTGAGTTTTCACAGATCGCCTAAAGGCAGACAGATTAGGAGATGACCCAATAGGTTGTAGTAGGGAGTTCCAGAGGATAGGAGAAGCTCTGGAGAAGTCCTGGGGGTAAGCATGGAAGGAGGTGATGAGGGAGCCAGAAAGCAGAAGTTTTTGGTAGGAGGGGAGAGGAAAGTTTGCGTGATACAGTGGAGGAATCGGCAGAGAAGGATGGCGGCCACTGAGGGGTTGGTGAGGTGGATGAGTCGGGCAGCAGCATTCATGAAGGGCAGATAGACTGTGTAGAGCCAGTGTAGGCCAACAAGAAGGGAGTTGCAGTGTCAAGGCAAGAGATGATGAGAGAGTGAATTAGTAGCTTTGTGGTTTCATTTGTTAAGTTTGGAAATGTTATGGAGATTAAGATGGCAAAATTGGACGTGGGGCCTGAAGAAGAGGTCAGAGTACAGGACTACACCTAGCATGTGTTGAGGGACTAAGAATTGTGTTATTGATCTCAATGGAGAAGCAGGGCAACTCCACACCTTTTTTTTAATTTTTTTTAAATTTTTTTATTTTTTTTACATCGGGGGTCCCCCTAACATTCCTACCAGACCTAAAGGGTCTGCTATGAATTGGGTAGGCGAACCCCACGCCCTTTTTGTTTTTTATTCTATTCTTTAACAACTTGAGAGTAGAGCGTACAGCAGCCCTCTGTTTCCGCTGAACCGAAGGGTTTCTGCAGCCGAAGCGAACCAAAGGGGTTGATTTACTAACCTTATAAACACACCATGAACATGTATACACCTCTGTAGTGTGTTCCCTCCCAGCATGATCTATGGGTGGATTATGAGCATGACCTAACCATTTTTGTCTAAACTGTGAAGCAGCATTATATATGCATCATGTGCATGATTTTTCCATATATGGCATTAGTGGAGATATGCTTTTAGAGACTTTTTGGTTGATAAATACGTTTTGCTGTGTGAAAATCACACGCACCCCCAAAGCATTAGCTGAATGTTCGGCTAAATTCTTTGGCTCTTTAGTGCATAATCCTCTAAATGTTGAATTGCTCGATGTGCTCCTGTTAAAGCGGCCCCTATTAATCAGCTGCAGTCACTGTTCTGGTGTGCAGACTTCTACGGGAGCTGACTGTCAAAATACAATAGCCAGCAGCAAAGATTAGTCCAGCCATGCTGTTTCGTGTGGATGAGTGAATCATGTGATTTCTCTCATTCAGTTTACCCTCATCTCAGCATATTCTCACAATGTGACTTCCCCTCGCCTGTTGTCCCAGGTGCTCTTAAAATGTGTTAAATATGTATTTTTAGTGGATTGTGTTTCTTACCCTAACAGTGACAGAAGACTCACAGTTTTTTTATTTTTAAAGGTAAAAATGATAAATATCAAGAGAAAGAGCCAGCCACAACAGCAGAACCGGCTGTTCCAACCCCCACAAGCACAGTGCCTGATCCATGCCATGATAACCTTGATGCCATAATATTAGGTAAGTGATCAATATGACACAGTGTGAGATATTATTTTCAACCATAAGCTCTTGATGTGCCTTAAATGGAAGCTTAAAGTGACACCAAACTCAGGAATTAAATCTTAAAAACGCATTAAAAAAAATCTTATTTGTGTATCACTCCTCAAATTATCTCTGAATTCATGCTGACACTGTCCTTCCTTCTGGAAGGTGGCTACTTTGTTCTCCATGGTCCCTGTGTGTGTTGTAAAGTAGTCACCTCTCCAAGCTCACTCCCGTGATGGACTACAATCAGTTTACTAATTTGTAATGAGATTGTAGTCCATCACAGGAGTGAGCTTGGAGCGGTGGCTACTTTACAACACACACAGGGACCATGGAGAACAAAAGTAGCCACCCTCCAGAAGGAAGGACAGTGTCAGCACCAATTCAGAGATGATTTGAGGATCTACAGCCGAGTGATACACAAATAAGCTGAGATCATTGCAAGTAGACGTCCTGAGCCCCGTACGGACCGTTACATCTAACAATGTTTGCAGCTGTCTGTGCCAGGATTTTTCCGCCCCCTCCCACTGGCGCCCTCAAGCGGCAGCTTGACTTGCCTTACACTAACGCCGGGCCTGCTCCCGGGAGAGAAATATTTTCTCCCAGAAAGGTTTACTCTGCTCGATCTAGCAGAGTAAACCTTTCCCTGCTATCTGTTTTTATTTTCTGACATCAGGGCGCCGGCCACAGTCAGTCAGAGGAAAAAAAAAACCGGCATAGGAATGCATAGCTAGATTGCTATTGGCTATTTCACTTTGCAATAGCCAATAGCAGACTAGCTATTACACCCGCCCACTTCTGCTGTCAATCAGCAGAGGGGGACCTGAAGTTCTCTATCAGGTCCTCTTATAGTGATTGACAGCAACAGAGGGCGGGTGCAATAGCCAGTTTGCTATTTGATGTTGCAAACTGAAATAGCCAATAGGAATCTAGCTATGCATTCCTATGCTGTTTCTTTTTTTTATTTTTATTTTATTCTGATTATTTAGAATACTAAAAAAAACAACAACAAAAAAACAGCAGAGAGCAAAGAAGGAGCAGAGGGCACCTCCCTCAAATGAGAAGGGCACCTCCCCGATATTGCTTTTTTCAGGTTGGGATCCCTGCATCAGATCTTTTGCATGTGAACATTTTTCTTCTTCCAAAGAATTGTGTACAATATACATGCACATTTATTATACCTGGAAGCAGGTGGTTGGATTCTAGGAGCCTTAAAAAGAACACAACCAGAACTCTAGAGCTGTGGTTCCAAGACAGATACCTCCATAACAGACCAGCCAGGCTTACCAAGGTTTTAAGACGATCTCTCTAGAATGAGTTTATATTGCAAGAATGTTTTGAGAGATTCAGTTGACATTCTGACTAATGATTTCATAATTCAAGGTTATTGATCTCCATTTAAAAGTGTATGGTCTGGGTAGACATTGGGGGGGAATTTATCAAAACTGGAGCAAACAGAATCTGGAGCATCTCTTCATTTCATTTTGCCCAGGTAACATTTTTAAATGAGACAGAGAAGCTGATTGGCTGCAGTGCAAATCTGCTCCAGATTTTGTCTGTTCCCCCATTGTGTTCTGCTGGACCTGCCCGTGAGCCGGAAATCTCTTCACTTTGTATTTCTTCTGAAGGAAAGGTTGTATGAAGTTAATTACTTGTATTGTTCTCTTGCCTGAGTCTGGTCAGACCTGTCTTCTATGAGAGCTCAGGGCAGATAACTGGCACTCTGCCTGGGCAGCTAAGAAGGGTAAAACTGTCCATAAACAAAGCTGTGTAACCCTCACAGCAGGTTTGCTGTGTCACAGTATATTGAGTGACAGTTAACACTAAGAAGAAAGGATGGCCTTACAGCCTGAAACTACTGTACTTTAATAGGGAAACATTACTAACCATACGAAATCAACTAATCCCTGATAATTATGGATGCACTGTTATAACAACTCAAGAGTGGTGCAGATTCGTCTTACAGATGCCCAGTACTATAAGAGGCAGCATTTTTCATCTTTCACAATTAGCTGCTAGAGATCTGCCTGTGTATGACCAGTACAAGAAAACATGCTAAATGCTGAGTCATGTGAAAAAGGTTTATCTCAGGTGATCCTCTGATCCTTATACTCCTACAGGACCTTATGGGAAAACCTATGCTTTTAAAGGAGATTATGTGTGGACAATCACAGACTATGGCATTGGTCCTCTCACCAGAATCCAGTCAATGTGGAAAGGACTTCCAGGAAATCTGGATGCCGCTGTGCATTCCAAACGTACCAAACGGACATATTTCTTCAAAGGTGAGATGTAAACACCTAAGCTTTTGTTATTGGCTTTAAATGGAAATCTTACATATATATTTCAGTTCCAGATGAACTGCTCATATAACATACATTCCAGTCTGTATGTATTTTTCTTGAAGACGTTTCACTGGTCATCCAACCAGCTTTCCCAATTCAGAATGACTTGTACAAAAATTTGGACAATTGAAGGAACATTCACCATATTTATTCCCAGAAAATTTTTTGTACAATTCATTCTGAATTGGGAAAGCTGGTTGGATGACCAGTGAAACGTCTTCAAGAAAAATACAGCAAGTCCAGTTGCCTTGACTTATTTTTTACAGATATACATTCCAGTCCCTAGTGGCTCTAGGACGCAGCACGTGTGCTGCCTCCTAGAAGGATCTGAGCCAATGCATTAATTTAATGCTCTCCTTACTTCCTAATGAAATTAACTAGCAGGGCAGATCAGGTTTAATAGAGGGATTTTTCTGTCCAATACTTAGAGTTGATGAATGAACCCTTTTTCTGTTGATCCATTTATTATTTTTGGATGTATGACAAAAACACTTGTTTTGGACCTGCTAAGGACCCTACAATTTTTTGTATGTCTCAGAATTAAAAACAGAATTATTTATGCGTGTGTTTTAAAAGATGTGTTTTCTTATTTTATTACTGTTTACATTTTAAATTTAAATACAATTTTTTTAATGTGAATAACATTTTTCAATTTCAATTTTATTTTTACATGAATGAATTTTTTTTTTTTAATTGGAGACAGTCTGCAATCCACCTGGTTACTGCCCCTAGTGCAATGAACCTTTTAATTTGAAAGTACAGTACTCTGAGTTTATTGCTTCCAATTTGATTCAGCACAGGAGGAGATTGGTGAACAGGAGCTTATGGAAATAGTTACAGTGGAAGCAGTAAAGTTTAAAACTGGAGAACAGAAAATGAGCACACAACTATAGTTTTTGCTTATCACAACCAATCATAATTCTTATTTCATCTTTTGCCATTGACTCCTATTTTGTCCTTAATTTTTCCCGCTTTCAATGCACCCTTATATTATATCAGCCAGCTTTAAAGTGAACCCCTCATTCATTTTGAATATAAAAGTTCTGCCTAAGACAAGGCACTACAAGGTTAGGGCCCCAATTATAACAGAGCACGTTTATCACTATCTGCACTCTGCTATATACTGTACCTCAATGTTGACCCACAATGCAGCATGCATTTTATGGTCCATTCATAAAATGCAGGCCGCAATGTGGAGCCTGCAGTGCCCCATGGGTCCAAGGAGCACAGGCCATACCACTGCTTTCAAAATTTTACCATCACATTCTTAAGCTGGCTACGCACATTACAATCCATTAACACAATCTCCTTTCGATTTACCAGCAACCATGTAGTGTTAGGGTCTATGTAAGCAATCTATTCAATAAACACCATTCAGGTAGGTCTTTACAGTACACAGTTGACTGTAGATCTAAAGCAGATTGTAGTTCGCCATAAAAGTAAAGTCCATGAAATATGAAACTAACATGCATCTCTTTACTTTGGTTTGTTCCTGATTACCCACAGTAAAAGTTGGAGGGGAATGCTATAATCTTTGCTATTTCTTGAGAGACTGCACATCCCGCAGCATTAGTTTACGTCAGGACCTTACACTTGGTTGTGTATGCTCTTTTTCAGGTGACAAATTTTGGAGATACACAGATTTTAAACTGAACTATGGATACCCTAAACTGTTAACCAGAGTTCCCGCAAAAATTGACGCAGCCTTATACTGGGAAGGAAACCAGAAGATATTCCTGTTTAAGGTAAACTATTATTTCAAGGACCTACTGTAACTGTAATGCAGCTTGTATGATTTTTTTGTCCATAATAGTTTTTATTGAACATTTTCCAAATGCAGCACAATAGCAACAATACAGTTTACAGGAATATGACCCAGGACTCATAGGGATGGGTATATAGGACTGTCCCTGGCATTAGGACTTGCAATGATAAGAGTTTTAAATATTTATTTTATCTCCCTGGCCAACCACTAGGAGGTTTATTGCCAGTGGTGGAGGTTGGGAGATGTTATAAATATTCAGGAGTGACCTTGGGAAGTCAGTCTTTCCCTTGTCTTCCTGCCTGGGGGAGGGACGCAATTGTACATTTGACCTTGGGCCTGCTGCTTGAGAAGGGTGACCATGTTATCTGACATAGGCCTGGGTTTGAGACCTAGTATGTTGAGCTAGGGGACTGAAACACCATGGAGGAACTTAAGCCTAACTGGCGTACCTTGGAAACTGTGCAGAAGCTTGGTGCTTGACTGAAGTGTGGTGATCTCTTCCTAAGGAGTCAATAGCTGAACCATTTAGCACCTTGTGGCCAGGAGCTAAGTTCTGGGTCAGCTTAATGGTACTCTATCTGTAAAGGCTTAGGCACTTCTTGTCCCTCTACTGGAGTCTTCCAAGTCTTTGGGTGCCCTGTGTCCTAACCCTCTCTCCCGGGAATGTTGAGTGAGAGTTAATAAACACCTTGTTTGCATCGAAAAGTGACTGGTGCCCATCTGTTCACATTGCTTAGCTATTGCTGAGTACTAGACCCTGAGGTGAAATGTTAGCCTACCCTGGCTCAGTGGTTCTGCAAATCCCTTGGGGGTTAGGGGGAGCTAATCCAATGTTTTCCTTTCCATAAATTATTTTTATTTACTTTCAATGTGCCTTTGAACTTTCTAGAAAATGTGACTACTCTAGAAGAGTCAATTCCCTAACACAGCACGTCATAGCCCTCTCCCTAGAAGGGTCCAACCTCTCTCTGTGCTGGTAAAGCTCCTTCACCCCACCCCCCCTTATGTGGCTATCAGGGGAGATGTGAAGGGGAATACTATAGAGTGACAGCTCTGATGTTGCTGGGACTGCTGGCATTACATCCAAGATTGCAGCGCCCATCAGCAGTTTCAGGGCTTTTGGATGTCTACACCAGGGAGGCTTTTACAAATAAATAACATGCCTCAAATATGTTCAATACACATATAGGCAAAGATTTTTGTTGAAATCAATGTTCTGTCTTTTTAGTTTTATAATGGCAAAGAAAGTAATGGAGATGATATTTTTCAGGATGACAATTACTGGCAATGGGACGAGCTGGCCTGGAGTACCTTAGAACCCAAGAAAATCTCCAGTCTCTTTACTGGTGTTCCTGGAAAACTGGATGCAGCTCTTACCTGGAAGAATGGCAAGATCTATTTCTTTAAAGGAGACAAGTATTGGCGGGTAAACAAACAGCTGCGTGTGGATCGTGGATACCCACTGAGCAAGGCGGAACGCTGGATGCAGTGCATCCATCTAGACTGATGACTCTGTTAAACATTTATCCTACTAGAGCACATCTATGCTTCTAATAGACTGAAGACTTTCTTTGTAGACTGACCACTGCTGTGTTCTGGTGTGCTTACCAGTAAGGAACACTATTCAGCAGCACTACTCTTATTTATTGCTAGGATCTTTGAAAGGATGCAGAAAACCTTAAAGGGAAGGCAGTGACAGATTCACAGAATTCATTTGATTATGTGCAACTTCTATCTTATTATGTGAACTTCATGCCAAAAAGCAATCTATGGAAATTTCAAATGCCATTACTTGAAAGCTTGGACATTTTTATATACTTTGCACAATCCTAACATACAAACCTAAAGATATTTCTACCCAAAACCACCACCTATAGATGTATATTTGTACTGCACTATGCAACCCCCCAAAATAATCTATTTCTTAGATAGACTTTGCTAACCATTATTTCTAAACAGGCACCAAAAATATGACCTTTATTTACTTAAGCAATTAGAAAGCCGTTATCAAATTAAGAGTACTTCTATAATGATTGTTATAATGAGGTAACCTAGATTAGTCATGTACATCAAGATAAATATGAACTTCATATCCAATATGTTTGGACTGCATTCCATTGTGAAATATTATGCAGGCATGCAGCAATGTATGAGGGATAATTGCAGTGGATGATGTATAAATTGTATGCATCTATATTTATAAGGCTGATCATGAACCTGCTATGACATTTTAAGACTCGGCAGTGCCACCTGCTGGCAGGTGGACATTTAGGGCTAGTTCACACCAAGCACGGAACTGGTGCAGAGCAGGTGCAGACCCGATCAAAACTGCATCCAATGTATTCCTATGTTATTTTTAGCTCCAGTTCACATCGCAGCGTGCAGGTAAAAAAAACTGCAGCAGGCCCTATTTTACCTGCTCTGGATCTGCAAACGCATGCACATGCCTGGAACGCACTGAAAGCCCATGTTAAACTAAAAAAAAAAAGACTTGTGTGCGTGTGCAGAAACCTGACCGGATCTGCTCTGCATTTGGCGTGAACAAGGCCTTACGTTCAAGCAATAAAACATTTTGTAGAAATCTTTAAGAAACTATTGTCATTTGTGTATCAAGAAAACAAGGGTAAACATATCATCTTATGTGTCATAAATATTTGGGTATAGCATTTCATTTATTCCTTTTAATGGTCTCTTTTCTATATACCATTTTGTTCAGTGAAGAAAATTAGTTATTTAACTCCATATAGCATCAGCAATGGACTGGGAACATTTGGTCTGCAGATAGGGTTCTATCATAGTAGGGACAGATTTTGGAAGGCTAAAAAGAAAGATGCAAAGTTTGCCTTGGTGTTGCAGTGATTGCTGAGCACGATGAAAGTAGGGTATTCCTAAAGAACATGGTGTATTGCGACAATCCTTTTCAAATCTTCCAGAAAATACTTCATTTTGTAGCTGACGTCATACAGCCACAAGATATCTGAGCCGCAAAGGAAGTCAATGTTGGAAAACTTCCCTCCGGCAGATGCTGTGATCACAGGTCTGAACAGGGATCAGTTCGCTATATGACAGCATGTGTCACTGACTATAGACTCTGTGTGATGTCTGAATTATATCCACTCAGAGCCAGCAGCCCAATATATCTTATCATTACTGGCCAAGGGCAAATGTCCCCCAGCCCAGCCCGGCCCTCCCGTGTATAGCATACATGAAACTAAGAGAATATCACTGATAACAGAAAGTGACACCTGAACATGTAACATCTGACAAACGGTTAACCCCACCTTACCATCTTGTCTTTAATTGTATTGTAATGTCTTCCTTACATTGTAAAGCGCTGCGCAAACTGTTGGTGCTATATAAATCCTGTATAATAATAATGCCCTTATTACATTGGGGACCAGTGCATATGCCCCATGTTGCTCAGTGAAGGAGCCCCATACATTGGTAGTCAGTGGAGAAAAAAATTCCTCTTCATATGTGTAGTCAGTGGAAAAAAGAAAAGTCCCCACTTGCAGTATAGGAAATCCTGGTACTACTCTTGATGCTGCTCAGTGACAGTGTGTCAGACGTATGCGATTACTGCTGGGAAGGAGATCAATCCGCTCTGGAAGTGAGTCAGGGATCTGAAACACCAACTCAGGTACTAGCATTAAGCAGGGATGGCTGGACAGGTAAGAAAGCTATGCAAAACTCTTGGTACTATGGATAAAGAACAAGCATTTCTCAATAGTGACAACATCCCCCTATAGTCTGCAGCAGACTCAGTGTTTGATGCTTTTCAGGACAAGAGGGCCATCTAGTGGAGGAACAGAAATTAGTGGGAATTGCAAATTTAGGCCCCAGTCACATAAGATCCATTTGTTAACAGATGCCAACGAAAAGTAACCCAAAAAATGAATGGGGGTGACTGGGACCAGTTTACACTGCTCTACTGCATTGCGCTGAGAAGAAAAAAAACAAGGTACAAATGCTCATATTTATCAGTGTCCATTTCAGGGATTCCTCTTAGCCACCAGTTTTATGGCTAAATGAGTGTTCCTAGAAAGATCTTGTACAGCATCCCTCTGTGAGGGATCACACTCTCTATTGTTGGTGGAGCATATAGCCTTTCAATATATTCAGTGCCTCAAGTTATGAATGCTGCAAGGTTAACGTTCAAAGAGATCAACAAAAAGGATATTCATGGGGGTTTTAAAAAAAGGGATTTCTGGGAATCCGAAAAAGGCATTTCACTGGCAGGCTAAGTCTGGGGCTGCAACAGCTAATCGATTAAATCAGTTATAATCGATAATGAGAATCGTTGGCAACGGCGGCACATTGACTTGATTTTGCATCCAGGGGGATGTCCATACACTATATAATATTAGCTATATAAGAAAGGTATTGGTTCTGCCTTGCGTATATGGTACGTGTTAGCAGTTCACTTAAAAAAAAAAAAAAAAAGAAAAGGAGAGTCTGTTGTCTTGCGCTGAAAAACTTCTCAGCTGAGGGCAGCGCAACCTACTGGTGTGAACGGCTCCTAATCACACCAATTCATTTTCAGATGTCCTTGTGCTGGCTTTCGTTGAGAAACGGATGCCAAAGCATCTGGTGTAAATGGGGCCTATATTGGCCGGTCAAGTACCGCTTCTATGTAGGAGACCTTGTACTTTCTCCTTTTTATTTTGTTTTTAACTCTCGCATGGAAACTGCAAATAACCAGAACCACAATTAAACCTTGTTCTGTACATTTTATTTCACCATGGCATTTCTAATATTATTCAGGGTATAGAGCAAGAAGGCCCCATTTTAAGAAAAACAACATTAATGATAATCTAACAGTTCGAATTACATAAATATTTGTAGGAAAGTGGTTCTTACGAGGATGTGCCTGTGGGAAAAACATACAAAGGGTAAGGGATCAAGGACTGTTAATAGAAAATTATGTCTAAACAAAGCAAAGCCAAATTTAGTAATTGCCAAGTTTATATTTTAACAAAACATTTGCTTATTATTAACAAATACAGCTCTGCAAAATATCATGTTTAACCACTTGAGAACCAGCCTGTACATACCCCTTCATTACCAGGCCATTTTGCGGTAATAGTTTGACTGACAATTACTCGGCCATGCAACACTGAACCCAAATGAATTTTATAAACACTTTTTGGAGACAGATGGGTTATTTGTTAATATAAAAAGGAAAAAGAAAATAACCCAAAAAACAACAATTTCCCTTGCAAGGACAGTGCAAACAACCCTAAAATTACCCCTTTTTTGGAACGTACACAATCCAAGGTTATATCTCATTTCTACCACAATATTTTGGCAATGAAGAAACATGCTGGTATTAGGGTGGATAAAATATGGAGCTTGGTATTGATGCACAGATCCTACACAGAGGGACGTGAGGGGTTAATGGATAAGGAAGGTAATGGTGGTAACATACAGGTCAGAGACAGGATAGAGATGAGATGTATAGTTCACATTCTCCCCTTGTGAGAGGAAGGGGAGGGTTCTCAAATGTAAGTGGTAGTAGTGTTTACATTTGTGATCGCTGCGATTGGCCATCACAGCCACCTCAAAGCACAGAGCCACTCCGATTGTGCATTGTGCCTGTGATCTGAACTGTCCAATGAGATCTCGATCATAGTACCCTACTTAAGTACAGAACAAGGTCTCTCAATTACCTGTCGTGTATAAATGGTCACAGTAGCTCAGGCAGATCCAGGAAATAGGGCCATTATGACAATCACCTCAATGCAATATTTGTCACAACTCAGATGGAAAATAATGCAGCTCCAGGATTTTGTTTGGCCAGTTTCAATAAGCACCAAAACACCACCTTTTCATATACAAGAAAAAGCCATCAAAAAGATTACTAGATATTGTGTAAAATCTCCAAAATGCAGAAAAGACGTTGAACATTTAATATTAGGAGCCAGTCAGTTTAACCTAGAAGTCAACAAGGGCGTTTAGAACGCATGACAGTACGTGATGGCAATGAACAGAACAGTAAAGGTTAGGATCCAGCCATCATTCTTCATGTGCCTAGATACTCTTCTCTTAGGATCTCTCTAGGTCTGCTAGTGTTACTTTTTGTTTCTCCTACCATTCAGAACACAAATGTCAATTTTAATTAGTTGCTTTGCCTCTTAAAACTTGCAGGGTTATTCACAAAAAGGTGGAGTTTGGAGAAGTGAACAATGTAGGACAACATGGCTAATTTGGAAATAAAAAAAATTTCTCCAATTCAGCTCCTTTTTGAGGTCAGCTATGTTGTCCTAGATTGTCGACTTCTTCTGCCTTCTCCAAACTCTTCACCCTTTTGTGAATAACTGTTGTTCTTGAAGGAATTGTACGAGTAGCTCTAGTACATGTAGGCCACATTGGCTCTTTCCATACTTGAACACTAGGTGGAGGCATGTGATCTGCCAATATCTTATTACTGTTATGGATTATAGCAGCAGCTCACATTTCTCCAGCATGTTGTTAATCAGAACCACCAATACAAGGAGTATTGAAAAGAGTTTGAGACATACTTGCATGAATAATTTCATTCTGAAGAGTAATATACACACAATTGTGCAATACAAAAAAAAAAAAGTGTGTCCTGTTTTCTTAAATTACTAAAGTTCATATTCTAGAATACTTAAACGAGTCATCAGGACCCTGCTTTTCCTCAGCCCACCACCGTGTA